CTTGATCTCCTGGGCTCATAGGAAGGAAGATGGGGGAAGGATAGTGTCATCAAAACAAGCTCACCACACCGGTGCTGAACCAAGCTTCCGATGCATTCACAGCGTGCTCTTCGAGATGTACATGCCTCGGATCTGCACACTGGCTGGCTAAGCCCTGAAGACTCTGTGACTCTATGCTCCACTTGGCACAGCATGTAAGTGATCTCCAGCCTGCACATCTCTCTTTAAGGCATGCTGCAGGAGAGTTCACACACGAATCTAGGAGTCTGGGCACGGTCGGGTTCACACGCTTACTTCGCAGAAATGTTGCTAACAGCTAACATGTGCTTCTCAGTGGCCAAGCGTGAAGCACGATGTCTGTGGCCCACTCCTCTGCCTGAGTCATGCTCTGTCTGCTACAAGTATGTGGTCCGTGGACATGCCCCAAGAACACAACAGACCGGGGCACAGCTGACTGATCAAATACATCGCGGCATCCCTAGACCCTCGAGTTACGATTTTTCAAGGCACCTTGTTGAGAGCACCAGACGCGATCGGCTCGGTCTCCGGAGAGCTCGGGGGGTGATCAGTGTGTCCTCCGCTGGCCAGGCAAGCCACGGCATGCAGAAAAGGGCACCACAGAGCGAGATGGCAGCGGCCTGCTTCGCTAACTTCCTGGTCGAGGACTGTCTCCACGAGGTGTCTCTTGGAGGCAAAGTCCTCCCCGAGATTGTGAAAGACCGTTGCAAGACAGGGGAAAGGCTCGATCTGAAGAAAAGCCCAGCATGTTCTACAGCGCCATATGCAGAGGCGGTCCCAGGCCACGGAGACACCCACGGGCTCGCTCCCAATGGCAGCTGCGATGGCCTCCTTGATTTTCTCCTTCCACGGGACGGCGAGGAGCCGAGCAGCGCAGCGGCTCTGGGCTACGGCAGCTACGGCGGCGGCCTCGGCCTGCTCTTGACCGGTCATGGGCGCGAAACCTTCCAGCTTGGCGGCAAAGCCTGAACCCAGCTGTCGGCTCAAGAAGGTGACAAAGAGAGCAGGCCCTGCAATGAAGCTACGGAAGCTTCACCCTCAGGAACTCTCGGCACCGTGTCACGTTCCGGATCCCAATACAAAGAGTACTCTGTACAAGTATCAGGACCAGTTCACTCGGACAGCAGTTATGACACCGCAGCATCACATGTCGTGCCAAGACTCTTTGCATGGTGGCATGCTCGGTGTGGACTCTCTTGAAGAGCTTGGTTTGCTGAATGCCATAGAACACTGCCCCGCCAAAGGAGAAAAGGTACGCAAACACCAGCCAGGACACCTGCAGAAAATCGTCACTCAACACAAAGAGCGCACAAGGACACGTTTGACCAGACTGTGTCCGATTCAGACAATCGGAACGGTTGGATGCCGCGGGATGTTGGATGCATTAGGGCCTAGAAGATGTTTTAAGCGAATGATTCCGGAGACAACCCGACGTGGAAGAACTCTCAGAACTGGTTTCTCAACGGCTTTTGCGCCCAACAGCCCCCATGCAAAGCACTGGTCTGACATGGAATGCTTCCGACCCATGCGGCAGATGCTTCGTAGCTCAAAACGAACCGCTGCCTTTGTCCAAACGAGCTCCATCTGGCGCGCGTGGCCCCATGCAATGACTGCGCACAGCATCTGCGGGCTTTCCTTCGCCGGCTCATGCCCATGTCTGAGTTGCCAGAGCTTACAGCTAGGCTTTGTCCAAGCAGCTGCTTCCCTGCTGCCAAGTATAAGCAAATCGGAGCTGACGAAGAGGACGAAGCCCAGCCAAGCCAGTAACAAGCCACTCGCCCAAACTAGCAGGGCGAACTGGTAGCGGAACAACGCCTCCAGACAGCATGCTAGCAGGGCCCTCTCTCCCTCACCAATCCTACTGCAGCACAACTAAACTCGATCATCACCGGATCTCTAATCCTTGTAATCTCTCCGCCGAGGATCCATGGTGCCAGGACCAGCTACATTTTCACGAAGCAAGTTGGTCGAGAGCGGGTACCTGGACACCGCTACAAGAGCCTGTCCGGGGGTGCGAGGGGTGATCATCAGATCTTCCTAAGATGCGAGGTCACGGCTCCGTGGACCTCGGCTGTGTGAGCCGCATCCGCTCTCTGCACTCCATACCATACCTTAGAAAGTTCGGGGGCACGCCAGAGGACACCCTCTCCGTGCCGCGGTCCCAGTCTGTGCTTTTGCCGCCAGAGGTGCTGGACCCCCTCCGGATTGACGCACGGTTTCGAAGCGATCAGGCAGTACCAGACCACAACAAGGATGGTTGCGATCCTCGCGGGCCGAAGGGCCCGTGGAGAGGAGCAAAGAGTACACTTTCTCAAAACCACCCTTTTGCGGACAAGAATCACCAGCACCACAGCAGCACCGATGAAGATTGCTAAGCCATGCATCTCGCACTCACCGTCCGCAGTCAGCCCATAGCCTGGGCTGGGTGTTCTTCCTGAAGAACAAGATAGCAAGGCATCGCGGCATCCTGCGCAACTCACACCCCCCAACCCCACGTCGAGCTGTTCCTTGCTACATGAAACGGAAGTGTTTCCGACAAAACAACATGCAACAAGAAAGCAGAGAGTTGTTCCGAGGCTCCTGCGACAGGCCACCGAAAAGCGTCTGAACCCTGAATGATGCAGCACGCAGGCTCTAAGGCTCTGCCACTGCCTTGACCAACCCAGAGCCAAAACTGCCTAACTCCCTGACCCAGTCGGAACAGTCTTACGCCTTACGCGCCCACCACATTGCACACCGGGTGTGGGTCAGGTCTGGCAGAAAAACTCTGCAACTAGTTCGTTGGGATGTCCTCTGATAACGTGAAGAGACCGAGCCCGGAGCCAAGCGCTCTCTATGCCATGCCAAGCGTCCGGGCATGCACTGCTGGCAGTTCTCCAGCTTTTCGCCTCAAAGTTTGTGGAACGGAACCCTTCTTGAAACTCTCTGTCCGACTTTGTCGAATAGCTGCTGAGCCGCCGCTCTGCCCTGGGCTCCCGGGAACACAGCGGGCACAGCCTTCGACGGCACAGTGGCGACAAAGCATCAACCTCAGGGAACGTTCCATTGTTTCGACCTACGCTTCCTGAGTTGCTCCCGACCTGTCATCCGGAATCGTAGCGTTCTCCACGGTTCCAAGAAGGCCGCACTCCTGCAGCACCAGCCGCTTCAGGTGACAAGCCTTGTCGGGTAACCTCAAGCCCAGCAACGGTGCGCCCTACGAGCACGCTCTTGTCAGGGCATCGCAGCGTCCCCAGAGCCAAGGCGGGCGCCGCCGAGTGTCCCGGTTTTAAGTTTTGGCATGTGTGCCCCACGACATCCAGCTCTGATACGAGTTCTCATGCTGCGTCTCTGTTGGGGGTTCATGTGCAACGACCGCAGACACACATAGACACACCATGCCAGCCCAGCCCACCGATGATCCGGCTCTCGTACCACCCGAGCAGGTCACACAAAGCCCCAAGGGGAGATGCACTCCGAAGGGCTACAGGGCTTCGCGCACGAGATGTGAAAGCTTCTGCGACCTGAACTTTCTGTGCTGACGGGACGGGCTACCTGGTGGTTGGTTGCTGTTGTGAGCATTACCCTCAGCAGTGTCAGCAGTGCACCATCCTGTCCTCCTTCTTTACGCACCGAAAATGGCAGAACCTTTCTTCGTTCAGAACTACAAAGTGTGCTCTGGCGCCACGAAAGCAAAGCTGCCAACCGAGCAACTTATCGCTCATTTCTGCCGCATACGGGCAGACCTTGGAAGAAACAAGGCAGCAAAGCAAGAAAACGAAGGGCGAAACAACAGAAAAGTCGAGCCAGCCTTGGGGCACAGCTCGGGCCGTGCAAAAATGTCCTGGCTCCCACTCTGCTCGGCACAGCGTCACAGCAACTGCGATTGGCGGCAGATGTCCTTTTCGCAGAGCGACTCGTCATCGCTTTGCACCTCCTCAGGCCTCGCTTTGCATCGATGCGTTTGCTTCAGGAACAACACATTCTGCCTGTGCCAGTGGCCGCCGAAGTGTCCTAGCCTTGGCACTCTTCAAGGCGCGAGGACGCGAGGAAGCGAGGGCCGTGGGCTGTCTCAGCTCTGCAGGCAGATGCAATAAGGGCTCAGCCCTCCCAGATGTATTCGTGGTCCGTGTGCCACACCCTCCTGGCGCTGCCGGCTACCCGCGGCTAAGCGGCACAGACCCGAGACGGAATCCGAGCTCTCCTGCGATCTCTCTCGTTGTACTTGCAGAAGGCTTCGCTGCTTTTCAGGACCTCCGCACGCGAGTGCCGTCCGAAGGAAATGCTGTTTTCTCGCTTCCTCAGCTACGAAGAGTGGCTCTCTTACAACTTCCCACTGTGCACGTGCGCCCTGCACCCACAGTATACTCGCTTCAGCAACCACCCAGACCACTGCTCGTGGCTAAGCAGGAAGCCTTCGTGGCTGTCGCAGACTTCGGTTTGTGGGCGACCTGCGCAAAGCAAGCATCCTTTGGATGCGTCAGTGCCAACCTTGCACAGCCCGAGTGGAACTGCGCTTTGCTCCAAGGCCCTTGAAGATTCCAGTTGTTTTCATCGCTCGCATCAAACGCTTTCACTTTGACTAATTCCTGACAGTGGCCTGCGAAAACGGAGACCAGGACGAAGGAAGATGCAGCCTATGCAGCTGGTCCCCAGTGTGCGGCTGCAGCTCGTGCAACAACGGACACAGGCCTGCAGCAGGAGCAGCATGGCGGTAAGATAGTCCTCAGCTTCCCAGATGGCAGCGTCTGCCTACCATCATGAAATGTCTTGCTGGTCTATCGCTATCGGCTGGCCAAGACGTCCAAGGCACTGTGGGACAAAGCTGTCCAACGGCGGTCACTCCATGTAAGTAATAAGGTCGAGCCGAAGCTGCAAGGAAGGAAGCGAGTCGGAAAGCTGGCAGTCTCTGCACGAGGTCTCGTGCTACTATATTAGAGCTCCGAGGGTGGAACTAGGCTCGCTCTGCGCCACTCAGTTTGGTCTGCACATTGCCCGCCGGCCTTGAGCCTCCTCCACTGCCGCCTTCACGCAAGGCTCCAGCCCCAGCGCCAGCACAAGCCACAAGCCACTTTCGCCAAGAAGAGAACACGATGTCACGACGTTGTCATGTTTGAGACTTGCAAATCTTGCACTTCACATTCGTGTTGGCAAGGCAGGGTATTTGGCCTTGCATGCCGCCAGCTGCTCTTGGATCTCGGTCAACACCTGAGCTGCCGAGGACACCACTCCACGCACAACAACCGACAAGCGACTCGCTCCGCTACGCAAACCGTGCACGCCAGTGGCACCTCATCGATGCCCCGTCCCTCCAGCAGTTGGGTCACCTGTGAGGCCAAGGACCAGGTGCAAAGCCTCTGAAGACTGGTTGTGCAAACATCAGGGTCCATCGCCCTCGTTTGCCCCACTTCTTCTCCCCACTTAACTGTCGCTCAGGTCTGCATCGTGCCGACTTTGGCTCGCTTGCATGCTGCCAGCCTATCCATGCCCAAACCAAACTCCATCCGTTCAGGCGCAGCATCCATGGGCCAACCATGATAACGTTCCCACAAACTCCATCCGTTCACGCACAGCATCCATGGGCCAACCATGATA